CATCACATCAGCCAACAGAAGACCACGACAGCCATCACATCAGTCAACAGAAGACCACGACAGCCATCACATCAGCCAACAGAAGACCACGACAGCCATCACATCAGTCAACAGAAGACCAGGAGAGCCATCACATCAGCCAACAGAAGACCACGACAGCCAACAGAAGACCACGACAGCCAAGAGAAGACCACGACAGCCATCACATCAGCCAAGAGAAGAACCATGACAGCCATCACATCAGCCAAGAGAAGAACCATGACAGCTATCACATCAGCCAAGAGAAGACCACGACAGCCATCACATCAGCCAAGAGAAGAACCATGACAGCTATCACATCAGCCAAGAGAAGACCACGACAGGCATCACATCAGTCAACAGAAGACCACGACAGCCATCACATCAGCCAACAGAAGACCACGACAGCCATCACATCAGCCAACAGAAGACCACGACAGCCATCACATCAGCCACGACAAGAAGACACAGACCAAGGATGGCTGGGCCAGTGTAGCCGCTGGCGTCGCTGCTGACGACGAGCTTGCGGTCGGAAGCGCGCAGGTCGAGCAGCGAGAACGACGTAGCACACAATGACTGCTATTGTAGCTACATTGTAGCACACAATAGCAGCTACTGTATCTACATTACGTATAACACAAAATGACTGCTATTGTATCTACATTGTAGCAGGGCATGTCAGCAGCCAGGAACTGACCGATGCTGACGCCGTCGTCGAGGTAGAGCAGACCGTGGGCCTCCCCAGCCTGATCCAGCGCCACCACAACACTCAGAGGCTTCGACCGACTGCAATGTTCATTGTTCCCCGTAATGCTTACTTGTTAATGTAGTTTTCATTGCTGTTTTGTGCATCATATCTTAATGACAGCTACAAGTTATCACACTACAATAAGTAACTCGTACATACTCTGTAAGATGCAAGTAGGGCCATCGCCCATCATAGAGAATTATTTTTGATCTACGAACAATACAGATAGGATCAGAACGACAGAAACCTATAAGAATACTTTTCCCCTTCCGATTTATACACAAAAGTATTCATAAAACTATAACATTCCCGTTAAATATCGACAAGTAATCATTGAACAAAGTAACCCGATCAAGGAACAGCGGGAGTTTCGGCCATAATTAGTCCACAAAAGTCAACAAACTAATGCCCACCTGTCGGTGGTGGTGGCAGCAGGCTCCTGTGTGGGCACACACGTGCCGCCTCTCATCAGCAGAGGCACGACGTCGAGTGGCGCAGCGAGCTGTGTGTAGAAGCAGCCTGGCTCGGTAACTTCAACGCGCTGCTCAGAATCAACTCGACTCAAATAAGGAGAAGCTTCGAATTCAAAACTTTCCGAGTCAACTCCACTACTTAGAATGTTTCCCGAGTTGTAGTGACTTGAATTGCTGTCTGAAATCAGAGGTTGGTTCAGAGCGTCGATGTCATTGTCTGCGTCCGAGGAACTGTAGTCCAGAGCAGCGTCAGATGAGCTGAAGTTTCCAAAGATGTCTTCGGCAAGTAATGGATATTCTGGAGCAGTTTCTTGAAATATAAGACTACGTGAGTGCGTTTCGGCATCCAGCGTTCGATCTGTATTGGAACCGGCCTCAACTTTACCAACAGAAAATGCATTACTCTCCTCTCGCTGATTTTTACTGGAGCTATCATGATCTTCCACACCGGTTTGCAATTCGATATTTATAGAAGGTTGCACAATTTCACTGGCAGCAAGCGTTTTCAAATCAACGTGTGCGACGGAGACAATTTTACGAGAAGGTGTGGAGTTTAACACTTCGTTCTCATCAGGATTTTCGTCTGCATCGGAATGATCACTAGAATTCCCCGGTCTTGGGTGACTGGCTTCGGAAATGGACGCTGCATAGTGGCTGGAATCGTCGGAAGCGACGCGCTCTCCCGTGTACCAGTCATACCAGATGGAGCCGCAAGGGAGGTACGCCTCAACAGTCGTGACGTCCTGGAAAATATATCGACACTTTTAAAAGCGGTCAATAAACGAGAATAGGAGTTGCTCTTGGGCATTAAAAAAACGGGCATTCATGCACACACAGAAGTAACTATGTTTAGTAGTGGTTAACAAATTAATTACACTGAAGCTCGGTCCAATCAGTGCATCAGCATTTGTAACTTCCTGGACAAAAGATTTAGGTTTTAGACTCAGGGGATAATCACAAATCTTAAAATCCATTATCTATTATCGTTTGAATTTAAGCAACCAATAGTACTGTAGCTGCTATTGAACAATACAACAACAATGGAGATTAGACTCGGAACAAAAGAAAATATAAATAAATAATGCCCTACAGATAGTAGTAATAGTTCGTGAAAATAATTTAACCACCTCTTCAAGCGCTGGGACGATCATGATGGCATCCCCCCACAGGAACTGAGTTTCAATCGAGTAAGTTGCGGCATCCTGCGGGAACTGCAGGAAGAGCGGCCGCGCCACCGTGTCCCCGTAGACATGGGCGCGGTAGAACAGCGTGTAGAGGTACGGCAGCAGACGGTATCGTTCAGTCAGGGCTTGTCGAGACGCATTGACAACGTCAGGACCTAGAGCTACTGGATCCTGGTCGATGGCAGTGTCGGTGTTGTGGTTACGTGAGAAAGGGTAGAAGGCACCCAGCTGCATCCAGCGCAGACACAGAGAAGGTGTGGTGTTGCCGTTGAAGCCACAAATGTCGGCGCCCACCAGCGGGATACCGAATAAGTTGAAGTTGAGAACGTCAGGTACAGAGGCCCTAAGATTGTCCCAGTCACTGGCGACGTCACCTGTCCAGTGCCCAGCCCACACGCCCAGCCCGGGGAACGATGCCCGGCTGATGACAAGAGGACGTTCACCGCGAGTCACTTTTAAGCCCACGTTCGTGGCGACGGCCTCCATGTTACCGAAGAGGTTATGGAGGTCATAATGCTTGCCCACGTATTGCTTGGCGTCGGGACACAGCGTTTTGTGGTAGAGTGAAGCTCCCACTAGACCACTTGGCACCCACGGTGGCGAATTAATTGGATCTGAATCGTTGCAGCCATATGCTGTGCCTGAGAAGAAGTTTGAAGGTTCGTTCATATCGATCCACGCGCCATCAAACGGAACGACTCCGTGGAATCTCACCAGTTGACGTGCCCAGTAATACAGAGCCCGAGGATGGCTGAAGTCAGGCCAAACTGTATCTCCTCTGCTCCAAACTCTGCCCTTGAAGTCCTGCCCGGAAGCGTTGCGGATGAAAATGCCCATTTTGGTACCTTCATCATAGGGCGGGTAGCTACCAGGGGCGTCAGAAGCGCTAATGCCAGGATCAATGATAGGAACGTAGTGCATGCCGAGCTCATGAAGCTCCTCAACAAACTGCGGCAGTCCAGAAAATTTTTCTTGGTCGTAAGTAAAGTCCTCCCTGCCAGACATGTAGTCAAGATCATTCCACTGCACGTCGAAAGGTATGCCAGCGTCTCGGGTTCGTTTCCAGACTTTCTTTGTTTTCTCCAGAGTACCGTAATTAAACCGACATTGGTGGTAGCCCAGCGCCCAATATGGTGGCATGGCGGGACGACCTACAAGCTGCGTGTATTGCCGCACCACATCTGCAGGAGTGGGTCCAGTAAAAATATACAAGGTAATCAGGTCGCCAGAGGACTGCAGGGTGACGGAAGGTGCAGGCTGCAACGTAGCGCTCATAGCGTTAGACGTCAGGAAAAGGACTCCATGGCTGGTGCCACCACTCTCCATGGCCAGGTAAAACGGATGACTGCCGTAGAGATTCAAACCAGGCTCTGGTATTTGGTCAGCGTTCCACATGATATAGCGAGACCAGTCGACGTCAAGCAGCAAACCGTCCCTATGCTGTCCTAGACCGTACACGGCTGAAGACGGCAGTACCGACGAAACTTGTACAAACTGCCGCGCAAATATGAGCGGCGCAGCGTCTTGCGTGCTGAACATGGTGGTGTTGGTTTCGGTCCTCGTGACGGTCAAGGCAGCGTTATGGCGCGTCAGAGAAACGCGGTACTGTCGCTGCATCTGGTGTGGATTCACTCCGGCGAGTGTGGGGCCGCTCTTGGCAGTCAAAGGCAGCACAGGCACCCACGGCGCATCTCTACTACTTGGCTGGATTTGTATCTTGAGCCGAGTCTCAGACTCGTACGTAACTTGCAGACGCAGTTCGGCCTGGTCACCGTCGTGCCCTGAAGGACGCATCAGTTGTAACAGAGCTTCTTGTCCCGTAGGAGTGTCCTGGTGATGCACAACGCGGTACGAAGCATGGGAAGGAGGGAAGAAACAGTACGGCGGACTGATGCGAGCACTTCCGGCTGTAGAATTTGAACGAGTCTGGTTTTTGACATTGTTTGAAACATCGACTGGTCTCCAGCAACAGCCTCGAGCAATGCATACTTCCTTAGACGCTCCCTGGCCTGGATGGCAGTCAAATCGACGAGATGTTACTACCGCGGCACATTCTTCAGGAGCATCTGCCCATTTAGGGGCTGAAGGAGCCTTGTCGTTCTTAGGATAGACCTTGACAGATAATAGCTCTTCATCATTAGCAGAGACACGATCGACCAAGCTATCAATGAGAAAGTCAGACCGCTCGGGTAAGTCTCGCGGCTTTTTTCTGACAAGATTGCCTAGGAAAGGAGCATTCCCTTCTAAATCTCCATAGACATCAGGAGACACGTTTTGTGTTCTGCGGTTTGAATTCTGCACGCTCATACGACGGTAAACAGCCTTATTAAGCTCCAAAACTCTTTTGCTTGTAATTTGCCCTGCAACGGCGTGAGCAGCGGAATCAATTGCACCATCAACATCCAAGTACTCTTTATTCTTTTTAATAACTTCTTTTTTGAGCTCAGAACCGTCATAGTTATCCATCTTCTTGAGCACATCGTCCATACGATCATGAAGTTCAGGCTTTTGTATTGAGTTTCTTCCAGACGAATTCCTGGAATTCTGAGTGGGAGTTAGACCAGTTTCCTTGCCTCCATAAATCTGTGCGGTGAGTTTATCAAGACACCTGAGGCTCTGGCATGGATGTCTTTCCAGGATGCTGACGAGAGTCACATATTCCTGGGCCGGCGTCATCTCTTTAGGTATCCATTCGAGGCGATCCGAGTACATGTCTTCTTGCACAGTGATGCTTTTGTAGTCGTTCATGGTGCCTTCAGGCTCCATGAAGCCTTGGCACATGGGGTTGTGTTCGCCTTCAAGACATTTGTTAACAATCTCGAGAAATTTTACCTCCTGATAACCATTGCAGAAACAGTACAAAGCTACTGCCAACACCAGACATGCCAACAACCGCAAGCTGTACACCAAGCAGGAGGGGTTCATTTCTTGAACCTGCACAATAAAAACATATTAGCATTTCTAGAGATGAGAAATGGCTTGATATTAAAATCAAATAGTCATGTAATTAATACCGTATGGTAGTTGTATGCCAAATAAATTTATGGAGAAAATAATTACCTAATCTATCAAAATAACATGATTACCGTACCTTGAGAAACATAGCAAACTTTGCATCACCTAAATATCTCAAAATAAATATAATTTCTGTAATGAGAGCAACAATTGCTTCATTTGCAATATGGACAAGAATTATTTAATAACTTTGATATAAACATTTGGCACTGTCAAATAAAAAGACAATCCATGCTGCAATTCAACCAAAAAAGTTAAAGGGTTTCACAGGAACAATAAATTGCTGGACAACTCACAGGGTGAAACATGACACGGAATTTTCCTTCCATAAATTCTTTTGCACCCAAAGTTGCTGGCTTGTCGCTGGACTTTTCAGGATGGGTTTTAGCTCCATTGGGGCAAGGAGGATCTAGTCCAGTCAGGCTGGTATACAAGATTGGTTCCCTCATAGCTTCATTGAGACACTCATCTTGCCACTTGCCATAAGACTCGTATGCATCATACGAGTCAAAATGGTCATATGGTTCAAATGGGTCATACTTGGCCCAGAACTCTTCATCATGTCTCTCCCTCTCAAGCTTGTCATCATCATTGACATGGGACATTTTTCCATTTCTGTCATATTCATACTCACCAATGCTTGGGAATTTTACCTTCAGCATCGCTGAGGGCAATGCATTTAGTACCTACACCCAAAATAGGTATAAGAAGTTTAGAACACTCCTGCTCAAATATAAAATATTAGAGAACATCATTTCTAATGAACAGAAGTTGGGTTTGATTTTTAGCAGAATCAGCATCTTGTCTGGTTTTCAATCACATAGAAACAGGCTGATAATGAAAACAAGGCACGGGGTTCAAATATAAAAATGTATATCCATTAAATAATACAAGGAATTTAAAAGCAAAGAAAACGCCAAGAAAATTCACCATATCGATATTGAAAACGTTTCGGAGTCCAGCCTGTCTCTTATACACATCTACTTTATGACGGCTGCAGTGAATGTGAAACACGCAGTGGAACGCTCAAAATGAAAAATCCAGTATACATTGTCTCGAAACACTGCTAAGAAACTTTATTCATTAAAGAGATGGTCAGTCGATCACTGTTCTGCTGATTAAAGCAACATATTTTCCAGCGATTCAATTAATGCTATGCTATGAGAATGCTATGAAGTTAATATATTTGTATGGCGAATGTGAGAAACGCTTGCTAATTAGCCAGCTGAAAACTTCTTCGGCGAGAATATTTTTGTTCCAATATTGCCTTTAATACCAATTTCTTGCGAGATTTGTATAATTCAAATTCCCACTTAAGCAATGACCAAATCGAAAAGTAAATCGACTAAATCCCTGTCAGACAGGAACGCATTTCGTTTGAACGGAAGTTGAACACTGCACAGGGCCTCATTATGTAGAATGTGATAGCAAATGCCTTGTTTTTGGGTCCAAATCTGTAGCTAACTATGGATATGATGAGCATTTTGTACACTCACCTCAATCCGAATGAATAAAATAATGTTTATGGAAGTAGTTGGTGTTGCCAACTGCATTTCTGAGAGTGTTGCCCCCGACGCTTGCAGAGAACTTTTGTCACAAAAAATTAATTTGTCGGCACCGGGTAAAAATAAAAAAATAGTGAATCTGTTGCGGCGAATTTCTTTCCTGTATGTAGCGGCATCAGGTCTCTTGGTTCAAGTTATTTCAGCCGCGGGTCTATTATATTAAGCAGGTTTAACACTGGCCGATCCAGATTCCAATGTGATNTTGCAGTATTTCGACACGCAAATGTATGACGTCACCATTTCAACCATCAATGAACGCATGGAACTAAAACAAAGCTTAATATAAAGGAAAAACTAGAGAAGTGACGGAATTACCTACGATGTCGGAATATACCGCGTTTACCCTATTTAGAGCCGCAATATTTTTCAGACAAAAAAAGGACTTTTCCAGCCCTGCCCTTGCTCAAACATGCAATTTTATTAAAAATTAAACAGAAGATAATTCTAGCAGGAATCTTGCTGCTGGCTGCTATGAACATAGTGCCATAGTGGTAAAGCTCTAGTAGCCTAGTAGTAGTAGTTGCAGAATGCAGCTGGAATGAAGATAATATATAATATTCTACACCAGGTAACACTAGCAAGTTCTTCAGTTCACTAATTCACTGGTCATGACTTGTGCCTTTGCCTTAGAAGTTAAACTTTGCAGGCCATCTTACCAATACCATCTAGGTTACTAGGTAGATATACAAGTTTTTCCATCTGCAAGATGTAAAACTAACAAGGAGTTGAGGACCAACCGCCAACAATCAACATGATGATGAAATAGTATATTAAATAATTAAAGTACATAGCCTATAACACTGTTAGGCTGTTAGCTGTCGTGGTCCAATGATCCAATCAAATCTCCATGCTCATTGCTCAACAGCCTCAGGCAGCCAGGCTCAAGTCAATAATTTATGATCATAAATACAATCAAATTAATGAAATTATTAATGTTTGACAAACGTTCAAAATTATTAAATGGACAAAATCTGACACTATCAGCTCCTATAATGTTTCATTTCCATCTGCCCCATATTCTAAATAGGCTAATTAATCATCATATTAATGCAGCGTTATGGTAAGACTGCGTGTTAGCAGCGTCTACAGCGAGTTCTTCTTCTTTTCGGGGTGTCTACACTGGGTAGACTTAAAGCCACAGGTCGACCTCGAGGATGGCCGTTGGGCCTGAGAGCCTGTATTGTGTTTAAATTCTTCTGAGTAGGTAACCACTGAATTCTTGTTTATAGTAGGTCAGTGGATACAGTGGCTCAGGATGCAAACTGTGGAAAACAGGGCAAACATGGCACAAGAAAACATCCACAAGCAAGAGCCGCTGCTCAGACAGGATCCTCGTACTTTTCATATCAAACTAGAAGAATGAATTACAAATATGACAAAATAGGCTATCTAAATATATCAGCTGTATTGACAATTCAGTTTAGTTTTTACAATTTAACCTAGTTAAAAATAGCTGTATTTACAGTTCAGTTCATTATTCTACTCACAGTACGTGCGATTGTAGAGCGAGGTAAAGTTTTCACTCTCGCAATCCTGTCTCTTATACACATCTAGATGTGTATAAGAGACAGCATTGAAATACTCCGGTTCGGGAATTCCTATAAAAACTGATCAAAATAGAACAAAGTTCAAAAGATGCCTAATTCCCTAGATTTGTAATTTAACTAATTTAACTACATCATGCACATTACAAGAACTCTTGTATGAAAATAATGCCCTTCAGCAAGCAAGTCACGTAATTAATCTCTGATTTGGATTTTTATAAGAAATCCCATGCTATTATCTAATAACGATGGCTGGACACACGTTCTACACACAAATTTCATGACCCTTATATCGAAAATGCAATCATATTTTTTTCACAAAGTTAAATAACTATTAGCAATATATAATAAAACGGACTTATGTTCTAAATGTACAGACGTCTCTTACATTTTTACGCACTTCTGCGGTAGTTCAATGAGAAGTCTTAGAAGGTTATTTTTATGTCAATACGTATAATATTCTTGATCCACCTTAATTTTCAATTATCTCTAACTATACATAAGATCAGGTTTTTATTCTGTATGATATGGTTTTTTTAGTGGAGAAAATGTCTCACATGTAGTTCAGGTCGACGACATGTCCGTTGCTTGCCCAGTACCATATTTCTGCCGTCTCATTGTACCTGGCGTCTATCCAGAACTCCGAGGAGTCGCTTACAATGCCAGACTCCACGATTTGGAGCGATAGCCAGCCCTGTCAGTAAAACAATTCGAAGACATGAGTTTAGACAATTCAAACTAAATAAAATTTAGAAATGGTTCTTACTCGGTGCATTTATAAAGTTGATTGCTGTTTTGCTTCAGTTTTTGTAACGCTCATAGCCAAAGACAGTTCGCATAAAGCGCAGCAATACTGTAACGAAGTCAAGTGAACTTGGCGATTAGAAATGTTAGTCGGAATTGTAAGTCAATAGAAATTTATAGAACTCGGGCACATTTTTGGATTAACACTCGAAGGAAGTGCGTTACTAGCATAAACTAGCAATATTTTTTGATTAGTGAAAAAAATATGTCCAAATGCATTCTTCTACGGCGCTGACTATCAGAACGTAGCTAGATTCATTTCCAGTGGCTAATTTTCAATAGCCTAAAGTCTTTAAATATTTTTTGCTGCATATTTAACATTTTATAGTATGTTATCCAGTCTCATACCCGGAATTGTTATTGGAGCAAAGTCTACGTTCCAGAGACGGAACAATTTTTTCACAGTAACAAGGTCAAAATTTGCGAGAGATGTCATAATTTTAGAACTTCTCTTCATAAATTACATCTCCTGGCTATATTTCAATCATCACTGTTACTGTCAATTGATATAGCTATNGACAACTTTGTAATCTAAAGCGAATGAGAGACATTGTTGTGAGATGTGTGTATTATAAAGGAAAAAAGTGTAAAATGAATGAAGAAAAAGAAGAAGGGGGGGTGAGGTGGTGAATAACTGGTTAAAGTTCACTCAGTCTACCTGACTTCAGAATAAATGTGGTCAGAAACTGAAAGATCTTACGTTGTACATCACTGTTATAATTCCCTTCCCCCAGGAGGGTCTACAGCGAGTTCTTCTTCTTCTCCGGGTGTCCACGCTGGGTGGACTTAAAGCCACAGGACAACCGCAAGGATGACCGTTGGGCCTGAGAGCTTCTGCAGTCTACAGCGAGTGCAGAGTGCTTTGTCAGCTGACTAACAAAAACATTGTGAACGATTGTGTCGCCTTTAAACATAAAATGTCCTAAACCACGGATATTATTTACGGCAACTGACTTAATAAACAATTTAAACGCGATTGAAGAAAATAAATAAATATATCTATTTTCTGTATTTTTTATTTCTCAACACATTTATTCATTTTAATCTAATATTTGAATAAAATCAAAATGCTGCCAATTCTCGATATCCTAATTTATTCCATTCAATTTGCCTACCGTAAATGCTGCAATTTGATTCAATGAATAGTTTTTGAGTTAAAATTCCGTGTTCCTTAATACTGATCATACTCAAGAAGGAGGCGCAGCAGATGAAGACCATTTTTGCACATCGTCCACACTTTCTTCAATTCATCCTTGAACACGCCAGCAGACTCAAACACAAAATGCAATTCATGCCAAACTCGATAATGCATAATTCAAACAATTCTGAGCAAATCTGAATGAAATTTAAAAAATAATTGATCATTGGCAAGACGCCGTGATATGAATTGTGATAGATTATTGCAACATTTTGTTTTCAACAAAAGCGCAACTTACGAGCAACTAAACTGCACGTAATTCGCACAATTCTGAATGGCTCTGCATGAAAATTGGAACATAAGTAATTTATATCAATACGTATTAATTATTATTTATTTCTAATTATTTCAAATTTTAACGACATTTAACTCTTGATTAATACGAGATTTAAAAAAAAAAACAGGCTAGATTATGTCAAAATAGATTAGGACGACATGTCAGGGCAGTCGGCGGAATTTTCACATCATGCTCAGGTTTGAACACGCAATTCATTCCTCCAATTTTTGAGCTCGGCTTGGATGAAGTGGTGTGATTCGGTTAAAAATGAAGTTTAGCAACACAAGCCAATCTCATAATCTTCATTTAAATTAGGGATCGTGATTGACACG